TCTCATTTGACAATCGACGTATTTGTTTCCACATAACCCTAGTACTACCACACCATGAAAGTCCATTAGAGACCTCACTAGAACACATCATACCTATTGATAAGATCGTACCCAAATAGCCCACGCATTTCTACCCCTTGAATAGCTGCAAAACATTACCAAATTTGTTATATCTTTAGCCCAAGCAATTTGCATTCTTTCTTAGATCAGGTCGATAACAAAAGTAACACACTTCATAAATCTAACGAAGTAAGCATTGGTACTATTGTAGTAGTCGTATCATGACTCTCTTTAATATACAATCAATCTATGGAATCCTAGTTAAGATTCTAACCTCAATTGGCGCAACCTAATTTCATCATTCGCTAAACAACCCATACATGTTATAGTAGCTTTACTAACTATATTTTCCAAGTAATGATGTTCATATTCTAGCTGTCCCTTACGAAACTTCTTGCATGTTGTTACTTATCTAGATAAAGTACAAAATTTGACCTCATAGGCTGCAACACATATCTTCCGTTTCTCTATATTCAGGAAACTATCTCTCCTGTTATCACTCAAAGCTTGGGGCATATAATTGGATGAAGAAGCTAGAAAATGCTGCCTTAAGTCATAGCTAGTGCCTTTACTAATCGACACTCAACATGAGACTACCACCACATTTTGCGTCTCCCCAAACTAGTATGTCACAAACTCAATACTAAGTCTCTCCACTATATTCATTTTATGAAGCATGTCAAAACAATCAACAATGAAAGCATAAGCATTTTCATAATCAATACCCATGAAGAATGAGTGTTTCAACTTTATGAACTTAATAAAAAAATCATGTTGATCACTAGTCATTACAGGCCCTGTAGTCAATCGAGAAAATATACCTATTTCCGAGGACACATTTATTTTTCTTTCTAGTGTTGCTATTTCAACTTCAATACTAACCATCTGTGAAATAGAGTGAATAAGTTCAGATACCAATTTATATCACCTAGATACCAATTGGATTCAAGTAGTAGCACAGAAGAAAGATAGAATGAAGTTTTCCTAAAGTTTTATAGCCTCTCGAAGAAAAGTAAAGGCGTCCCCATACCGTTCCACAAGAGTCTAGTAGACTTGTCCTTGTGTGATAAGACCACTGAACCTAACGCTCTGATACCAAATTTGTCACGACCCAAAATGAGTCGTGAGTGGCACCCACACTTAACCTCCTAAGTGGGCGAACCAAGGAATCCAAACCCTAACATATATCAATAATTCAACTACGAATAACAACAACAATGCGGAAGCTCAAAACTTATTAAAGTAACCCATCAAATAAATCTCTAAAGTCTAACACTTATTATCCCTAAAATATGAAAGTCATCACATCAAGGACATCTAAATCTTCAAAATAATAAGTCTAAGAGTATTAAAGACACCAAAATAAATGAATAAAATAGTTTATGTCCGAAAACTAAGGACATTATGCCATGACCAAGAGAATCCAACACGAGCTGGAATGAATAATTTACCCTAGAACCTGATGTGCTGGAGACTGGCTAGAGCTGAGTGCGAGTCGAAGTCACTGAATCACTCGCTGCACTCCACAAAAGAAAACAAAGAAAAACACAAGTAGGGCTCAGTAGAGGGAAACATGTACTGAGTAGATATCATCGGCCAACCCAAAATAGAACTAATATGTAATGAATAATAGTATAAAATCAACTATGACACTTAGCAGGTGGCAAGCAACAAACACATGAAGTAGTGTCAACAACACTTAAGTAAGTACGTAATCAGTCAACAATATCAAGATCACACATGAGTACTAATTCCTCCAAACCAAGCGATTTTGGGAATTGAGTTCTTTGAGATTAAGTACATTAAGTTAATTCAATATCTTTTTCCTTTAATGTTACCGTGTCGGAACGTGACACTCCGATCCAATCGGAACGTGACACTCCGATCCAATCGAAACATGACACTCCGATCCAATTATACCGTGTCGGAACGTGACACTGCGATCCAATTATACCGTGTCGGAACGTGACACTCCAATCCAATAATACCGTGTCAAAACGTTCCAATCTATCAAGTATATATGCATAATTTGTAAGTTAACGAGTCTATAAACACTTATATTATTCTATGTCTAAGCCTAGACCTAAAAACTCACCTAATTCTATAATCAATTTCCTAAAGTTCAAACCTAAGGGTAAGTCGTAATTCCTCCAATTGGCATAACTTTAACAATATTCGAATAATATAATATACCTAATATTTAATTACCTATCTCAATATATTACAACTTACCTTATATTATGCTAATAAAATAATATTAATTAAAAATGGAAGCTAACTGGTGATGAACCAGTGGTGTGAACCATGCTAACTCTTAACACATATGCCATAAGTAATAACCTGACCTATTCAATTGTATAAACTACACTTCACTGGAGTATGTTGCCAACTTCAATCTATTACTATATGATGGTAATAACTAACTCAATTGTCAATCATTAATTGGTCATTAAGAAGTCGTACAATAATGCCAAGAACTCACATGAATGACTAACCACGTTTTCCGTACAATTTTTAATACATCAACACTAACAAAAACAACCAACCAATATTATCTAATAACTGTAGTATCCATTCTTCTCAAATAACAATTTCCTACACCACATATTATAATCATTCACTTTCAATTCTTGACCAATACTATGCCATAATTATTCCTCAATTATGGTACTGTCATTCCCCAGACAAACCCACAACAATTTATCCCCACCATTTTCATATACACAAGTTGTCATATCGTCCTTCTAATTCATTATCCAATTACACACGTGTGTATATTATATGTGTATTGTGGATAAATTCATTATCCAATTACACCCACATAATTCATTATCCAATTACACCCCCATATATATATACAAACACACACATATATATATATATATATATATACACACATTACCTTCCCTAATTATTACAACAACCTAACCATTCAAACATATCTTACCCCCAATTTGACCAATCATTACGTTCCTCAACTTTGCACCTTTCAATTATTTAATCTTTACGTTCCTCAACCTGGACACCTAAAGAAGTACGTAAGCAATGATGTCAACAACAAGAAGACAAAAAAGAATATGCAAGAAATGACATCACAAACATGATATCAAATTCTCTCAGGTCTTCATTTGTGGATTCTATTGAAGCAATTTTAACAGTATACTCTAGGTTAATAATATCAAGTCTGCAAGTTTTATGATTGGCTTCCCAGTGCTTCAGGGGTCTTTCTCCAATTATTTCTAATTTATCTAAGATGGAAATTACTTCCTCTAGGTCTTTCTGATTTTTTATGACTCCTATATGTTGTAATCCTTTTCTGAAATTATAAAAGCTCTGTATTTATTTCTATTAGATCATAACTTTTTTCTATTTGTATATCAGATAGACTTAGTTCTAATAAAGCTCTGTATTTATTTCTAACCTTTCAAACATTATTTGTTTTTATCTTACCCCCAATTTGACCAATCATTACGTTCCTCAACTTTGCACCTTTCAATTATTTAATCTTTTTCCACTATTCATCATACAGACCCACTAACGATAATTAACCAATAATATACAATTAGAATGCTGGAAAAATTTCGATGAAACAGTTACATGAAGCCGTCTTTCCAATCTTTGCGACTCTTTTGGATTTCCTTTTCCTTTCTTCTGCAGATTAATTATTAACCCTAATTATTATATGACTAATTATAAAAGAGGTAAAATTTGCTCACTACTAATTTTAGTGTAATTCTTTAGCCACCAACTACATTAATAATTAAAACTACCCCACTAATTTAATAATATAGTTACGAATAGTCCAAAATATTCATTTTGAATCTATTGAAAAAGTCTTTTATGCAATAAAAAGCTCTAGTACTCAAAACGACCAAATGAGTCGTTACATATATATATATACCTACCTTCTTAAACTGTAGTAAGAAGAATTAAAAAAATTCATGTGTATTTTCAGCTAACACAACTATCTAAAAATATCATAACTTGAAGAAAACTTTAGTAGAACCTAAAAAGATAGAGAAACAAGACTTGAGGAAAATGAACCCTTTTTTTTTATCTTCATACACTGTTTTTTGTGGATGTGTCTTCTTATCTTCTCTTTGAGATATTCATTATTTGGAAATATTCAATATAATGCCTTAAATTCTACTTATATAGTAGCTCCGCCCCTGTATTAACCCATTTGAAATCATAGATGAGAGGGTGGGAGTTAAAATAATAATGAACATAATTAGGTGGAGTTGTTATATTTACATAATTGAATATAATAATGAACATAATTAGGTGGAGTTATTATATTTACATAATTGAGAGTTAAGATTCATGCACTAATATGATAATTTATCATTTATATTTAATTTATTAAATAGTTTATAACATTTTAATTTAATGTAGGGTCAGTAAAGTAACAAATCACTATAAATTCTCAATAATAACAATAACAGAATATTAGAATGCTATACAATAATAACAAATAAAAAACATAAACATTACATAAATCAAATAAAAAGATACAAGAGAAGAGAGTATATAATTTTATTAGAATTGTTTCAACTGTTTTAAGTGTGTATAATATTATGTCAAATATCAGTATTCATAGGATAGAATTGAGGAACATAGTCCACGAACAATTGTCATGACTATGACATTAGCCCATTTGAGATCTTGGATGAGAAGATGGGAGTAAAAAATAATAATAAACATAATTAGTGATAGTTATTATATTTGCACAATGGAGAGTTAGTGGAAATAGAAATTCATATGATGATTTACCTTTTAATATTTAATTTATTAAATGTTTATAATATTTTAATTTAATACAAGGGCAAAAAAATATCTAACTTTTACTTAAATTTCTTTCCACTTTTAATAATATATGATGTCATAATATTTATTTTTTGTTTATAATATCTATTTTTTTTTGTTGTTTTCTTGTGATAAGAGACAATAGCAAAAGTAAGCACTACTCTTCGATGTCATATTCTTTAAATTGATATCTACTTTTTTTTGTGATATAATAGATAGCTGCAGAAGTCCTTTTTCCCCCTTATTATATCATTTTATCATCAGAATTTGTATAGACAAAAATAAAATAAAATGTGGTGTATGTTTAAAATGTAACCTTAGAAGAAGTATAATGAACAAATATTTGTTGATCTGAGAAACTTAATTATATCATGATTTACTCGATCTAGAGATATTAACACGTCTATCTAAATGTGGTGTACGTAAAATCTTTATGTCTTTGTTGTTGATATAGATGTTTTCCTCAATATTGAACTTGACATGTTAAGTAATCGAAACTATATTTTGATTGTTGTGATGATTATTTGTTTTTTTTTCCTTTTTACTGTTCAATTGTCAATTAGTACGGAGTAGATATACACTTTATATTGAAATATAGTTTCAAAGTGGCACAAAATTAACCACTACAAACGGTTAACGTTGGATTCATGCTAACACGGGCGATACTTGTTTAGTATTGTAAATAGGAACCATGAAATTAGAATTCCCTTCTTTTTTTTGAACTCACATATTTGGTGCTTAATCATTTAGGCTAAGAGGCAAGATCAAGATATTGATATTTTGGCACGTGTATTATATAGTTATGCCCCCTACAAATTAGCCCTGGCCCCTCGGCCTTGTATCATCGGACTTATATATTTCCTTTATCAAAGAAAATGTAATAGGCTCCTTAATTAGTTTTCTTACTTATTTTTCTTAAAAGTATACAAGCTATGAATGCTTTCACATTTTCCTTCACTTATAAATTATTATTACCATACCCCAAAACTCTTCTTTTTTCTCCTAATAGGAAATCTTCATATGCATCTCCACAAGCCATTCCAAAAAAATCATCATCTACACAACATAATAAACTTAAACCCCTAAAGAAATCCTTATTAGAGCCTTCATTTCTAGAAGTTTTCTTGAATGCATGTGATGATTTCATCGACACGTACATCGATCCTCCACGTCATCCTTTTATTGATCCAGAATGTGTTCTGTCTGACAACTTTGCTCCTGTTGACGAACTTCCTCCAACAGAATGTGAGGTGGTAAAAGGCACCCTCCCACCGTGTCTCAACGGTGCTTACATTAGAAATGGCCCAAACCCACAATATTTTCCTCGTGGACCTTTCCATTTCTTTGATGGCGATGGAATGCTTCACTCTACTAAAATTTCTCAAGGCAAAGCAATATTTTGTAGTCGTTATGTCAAAACTTACAAATACTTGGTAGAGAAAAAAGCAGGATATTCAGTCATTCCTAATGTCTTCTCCGACTTTAATAGCCTTATTGCCCTTGTGATTCGCGGAGCAATGTCTATAACTCGAATTATAATTGGTCAATTCGATCCAAGCAATGGTTTTGGCCCCGCAAATACTAGCTTGGCACTATTTGGTGGCAAATTATTTGCTCTTTATGAATCCGATATTCCTTATGCTATAAAATTGGCCCCAAATGGTGATATCATAACTATTGGTAGTCACAATTTTGATGAAAATCTTTCTATAAATATGACAGCCCATCCTAAAATTGATCCAAATACTAATGAGGTTTTTGCCTTTCGATATGATCCAATATTATTTCCATACTTAACTTATGTTCGAATTCACCCTAACGGGGTCAAAAGTCATGACCTACCAATTTTCTCTATGACACGTCCATCATTCGTTCATGACTTTGCTATTACAAAAAATTATGCCATATTTCCCGATATACAAATTGAAATGAACCTTTTAGGGCTCATCACCGGTGGAGCACCGGTGGGTACCAACTCGAGAAAAGTACCTCGACTTGGGGTGATTCCTCGTTACGCGATAGATGAGTCAGAAATGAGGTGGTTTGAAGTACCAGGGTTCAATATGATGCATGCAATAAATGCGTGGGAAGAAGATAATGGTGATACGATAGTAGTGACTGCTCCTAATATATTATCGATAGAACACTTTTTGAAAAGATTGGACCTAGTTCATGCAACAATTGAACAAGTAAAAATCGACTTGAAGACGGGGAGGGTAAGTAGAAATCTAATGTCGAAGAGGAATCTTGAATTGGCATGTATCAACCGGGCTTATATTGGCAAGAAGAACAAGTACGTACGATCCAATTAATTATGATTTTTTTTTAAAAAATTTGTATCGCATTATTTAGATTTTTTTAAAACTATCAGGTTAAGTTGACCTACTATATAGTAATAAGAAGAATAAGAAGTTCTCTCAAATTTGATATATTAATTCAAATGCTACCTATACATGATTTCATTCACACACTGTCTTTTCTAATTTTTGTAAGTTGTTTTCTTCTCCCTCCTTAATTTTATATACATTTTGTCCGTTTCAATTCAAGTGTTTTATTTTTTTAATTTTAGTTCAAGAAGAATACTCTTTTCAATATTTGGCAACTTTCCGAGTTTAATATTTTGTATGAATAATTAAAATTGAAAAATTCAAAATTCTTTTCTCATTATCTTGAATTTTGTGTTTTATTAAATTATCCACTTATATTAAAATAAAGAAAGTAGTAATTTTTTTTAATCAAATTTATACATCATCACATCACAAGAGTTACACTCTCTCTAAGTGGGGTCTTTCGCTTTTGTAAGAAGTGACGGTCTTTTAACTTGTTAATAAATTTCATTTAGACACTCGAATTATTATACAAAAAAATTGAAAAAGATTTTGAGTGTGATTTCAAGCACCCATCACGTAGATAAGTTAACCACAAATTATATATCACCTCCTATAATTTTAAATATCAGCCTCAATTGAAACATACAAGCCTGAGATTTTACGATTTATTGAGATTAATAGGTATAATAAAATGATGGTAGTGGACTAGTGGTTAACTTATCTATGTATTTTTTTGTTTTCATTATTAAAGGTACATATATGCAGCTATTGCAGACCCTTTGCCAAAGGCAAAAGGTGTGGTAAAATTGGATGTATCCATGCTAGAAATTGATCAACAACATGATTGCATAGTGGCCACAAGAATTTTTGGACCAAATTGTTTCTGTAGTGAGCCCTTTTTTGTGCCAAAGGACCATGACAATGTATTTGCAGGTAAAATTCATATAACCAATCATTATATATATTTTTATTTATTTATTTTATTCGAGTTAATATCATGTAAGGTCACTGAATTTTAATCACTATAACAGTGGCATATATCAATCAAATAAATTAATGTTATTCGTTATAATAGTAATGTCACTTTTGTGAAGTTAAAATAATTGAGGTTGTGGTGGAGCCACATTTATTCAAGAAGAGTCAATTGATATACTCTTTATCAGAAAAAATTAAGTGCCACATGTCAATCAAAAACTTTAATGTTACTCGCTATAATAGTATAATATCATAACTATTTTTGTCAGGTTAAAATAATTTAAGTTGTTGTAGAGCTACATTTATTCAAGAAGAGTCAATTGACATCCTCTTTATCAAAAAATTTAGGAAAAAGGGTCTGAAAAATATTTTAATTTTGGTCGAAATTGTTGTTACGATACCAAACTTTATAGAGGACCTTTTACCCCTTACATTATTTAATATTGTATTTTAAAGGTATATATGTGCCCACGTAGACACGTTACTAATTATAATGATGCAATATTTATGATGTCCATGTGGGCACATATATACCTTTAAAATACACTATTAAATAGTATAGGGGGGTAAAATATCCTTTCCAAAGTTCGGCATTGTTAAAGCAATTTCGATCAAAGTTCGAATATATTTTAGACTTTTTTCCCAAAAATTTACATGGCACAAATCGATCAAAAAAATAATGTTATTCGCTATAATAATATAGTGTCACAAGAATTTTTGTCAGGTTAAAATAATTGAGGTTGTAGTAGAGCCACATTTGTTTTAAAAGAGTCAATTGACACCCCCTATATCAGAAAATTTACGTAGTACAGATTGATCAAAAAATTAATATTATTTCACTATAGTAAAAATGTCACAACTATTTTTATCATGTTAAAATATTTGAGGTTATAGTAGAGCTACATTTATTCGAGAAGAGTCAATTGACACCCTTTTTGTCAGAAAATTTGCACAGCATAGATAGATCAAAATAATTATTGTTATTCACTATAATAGTATAATGTCACAACTATTTTTGTCACATTAAAATAATTGAAATTGTGGTGGAGCCACATTTGTCCAAAGGGGAGTCAATTGACACCCTTTTTGTCAGAAAATTTGCACAACATAGATTAAAAAAGGGATAAGACACAAGTATCTCATAAATTATGATCGAAATCTCCAAAACACATCTTAATTAATTAAGGTCTTATTATCTCTCCGAACTAAACTTTTTTTGTAATTTTGAATACCTTTTGACTTGCGTCGCACACTCCGTGACTCCACGTAGTTGAGGTGCGTGAGAGATATTTGGATGCCACATAAGCTAAAAAGGTGTATAAAATTACCAAAAAAATTGTTCGGGGGGGGGGGGGGGGGGGGTGATAGTTGTATTGTTGGAGTAAGTACCTGGTTTGTGGCATATTGACCTGTTGTTTCTTCTGCATGTATGACATTCTCGTCAGAGCCTCTACAAATTAACCATGTCCCATTGCATAATCCATTTGAGGGGTCCAGTTTTCTCAGCAGCATGATGGGCGCATTTTATTTTAAAACTAACCTAATGTATAAAATTAACAGAATCATCAATTGTTATGTATATGTAATTAGGTAATTCTTTTCTTCTCTTTTGTGCTATGAAGTATCACAATAAGATAACTGTAAAAGTTAAATAACAAACATGGGGGGGGGGGGGGGGGGGGGGGGGGGGTGGGGGGGGGGGGGGGGGGGGGGGGTGCGGGGTGTAATAGGATGTTAGTTTAGCTAAGATGTGTCTCTGAGATTTCGATTATAATCTAGGGATACTTGTGCCTTATCCCAAAAAATTACTTTAATGTATCGATTAAAAAAAGTTAATGTTGTTACCTATAATAGTAATGTCACAACTATTTTTGTCACATTTAAATAATTGAGATTGTGGTGGGGCCTCATTTGTTCAGAGGGGAGTCAATTGACACCTCTTTGGCAGAAAATTTGCACAACATAGATGAATCAAAAAAGGGATAAGGCAGAAGTACTCCATACATTATGATTAAATTTCAGAGATACATCTTAATTTAGTTAATGTCCTATTACATTTTCGAACTAAACTTTTTTTTATTTTGAATATTTTTTGGCTTATGTGGCACACTTCGTGACTCCACGTGGTTGAGGCGCGTGGGAGATATTTAGATGTCACATAAGTCAAAAAGGTATACAAAATTACCAAAAAAAATTGTTCAGGGGGTAATAATAGGACATTAATTTAGTTAATGTGTGTCTTTGAGATTTCGGTTATAGTCTAGGAGATACTTGTGTCTTATCCCAAAATATTACTTTAATGTATGACATAAACTATATTTTTGAATTATTTTAATGCATTATTATATATTTAATTCTTTATATTTTGAATCAGTTGACGAAGACGATGGCTATGTGGTGTGTTATATGCATAATGAGAGCACAAGAGAATCAAGTTTCATGGTGATGGATGCCAAGACTCATGATCTTGAAATTGTGGCTGTTGTGAAATTGCCTCATCGTGTGCCTTACGGTTTTCATGGGATATTTGTGAAGGAAAGTGATCTTAACATGCTATAGGAAAGTTGTCAAGTTTGGGTTGTTTATATCAATTTTCACTATTTATGTGGATTATGTTCTTCACGCAGCATTCAGATAAAATGACTATGAAATTACATTATACTTTCATGTATTATGAATAACGTACACTCAAGAGTATGGTCTAGTGATCAATGAAGTGGTCGACAATTTAGAGGTTTTAGGTTCAAAACTCAGTGAAAGACAAGAAAACACTAGGTAATTTTTTTCATTTGTCGTAACTTTGATGGACAAAAATTACCTAGTATTTGTTATTGGTGCTTACGTAAAAGTTTGTGAAAGCTTTAAAATTTAGTTCTCTTATAGTAGGAATTCTTTTTAACACTTATACTAATAAAACTGTACACATCGAATGTACAACGTAAAAAACAATATATATTGATCTTGAATTTATTAGGGATAAGGGTCTGGAAAATACCCCAACTTTGGTCGGATTTGCTGTTGCGATACTAAACTTTCATGAGGACCTATTACCTCCCTAGACTATTTAATACCGTATTTTTTACCCCCTGAACTATTTAATAGTGTATTTTAAAGGTTAATATGTGCCTACGTGGACACATTACTATTTATAATTTTGCATTATTTTTTATGTCCACGTGGGCAAATATATATGTTTAAAATACGGTATTAAATAGTCTAGGGAGGTAATAGGTCCTTATGAAAGTTTAGTATCGCAATAGCAAATCCGACCAAAGTTGGGGTATTTTTCAGACCCTTATCCCAATTTATTAAGTATGCACATAAGATGATAAGAAGATCAATTTTTCTTAATTATTTTCTTCATTTCACCTAGATTTTCTCTTCACCTAGATTAAAAAGAATATTTAAGATTTTTTTTTTGTCATTTCGGAATATTTTAATAGATTACTGTTTTAAAATTCTGTGACGATGTGTTTTATTACTACATGAAGCGAGACCAAGTTATAACATATTAGATAAGTTTCTTCAATACGATCGTTGGTGTAGCCACATGTAGTGCAGAGTGATCACTTGAACACTCTTTGTCCGAAAATTATACTATGTGTATAGAAAATTATATGAAGTATATCGATAAAAAAAATATTTTTCATACATATATATTAAATTTTGAATATTCTTAATTATCAAAATTTCTGATTTTGTCGCTGAAAACGATATGTTTGAGTTGGCCAAAGGGAGATAGAAAAATGAAAACTTTCTTATTAATCATTCATAACAATGAAAAGTGTATGGTTGTATGAAATTTTCCAATAGTTTGGCAAGGAAAAGGAAGTTACATCAAGAAAAATGTATATGATTTCGACAAACTTTTATTAAGAGATGGTATTAATAATATAAGTACCTAACAATGTCATATTTTTCTTATATATAGTGATCCCTACCTAGTAACTAATTAATTATGTATATAGAAGGCTAGAAGCTATAATATCATGAAAAGTACGTTTGGTATGAACATAGGTAAAGTCAAAACACTCTATAACGACGTTATTTATTTAAATATTATTTTACGTAATTTATTTAAACATTTTTTTATTGTTACATCGAAATGCAATTATGCAGAACATATACTATACATGTATACAAGAGTATTAAGACAAACAACCTTAAATTGAGTGTGATATAAATAGTAAAAATTTATAGAGTTGGTCTTAACTTATAACAACCGGAGCCCCTCGACTTTCCTATAGCATGTTAAGAGGCAATTTCACAACACCCACAATATCAAGATCATGAGACTTGACATCCATAACCATGAAACTCGGTTTTCTTGTGTTCTCATTAGGCGTATAACACACCATATAACCATTATCTTCGTTAGTTGATTCAAAACATAAAGAAGTAACACAAGCAAGATATGCTTATCTGATAAAATTTGTGAATAATTTACTATATAGAGTTCTAATAAAGATAATATCAAGTTTAGTTTGTTCAACAAAACTTGTGAACAATTGAACAATACAGACAAAATTCAACCATTTAAAAAAATTGTATGGAATTGAACAAAATAGATAATACAAATTACGGTTGTCGTCAAAACTTGTGAACAAATCCAAAAAAACTTATAAAAAATTTAACAAAATATATAAAATAGAATAGGACCAACTAGTCATATTTCCAACCAAATCCAAACACACTCATTCTCTTAATAAAAATTGTGGATGGTATTTTCTTTTTAGATAAATTTAGCTCACCATATTGTTGGGACATAATTTAAATTGTGGCCACAAAAAAGCTTTTTGTGCAAATTCGAAGTCTATTTGTGCAAATGCCAAAGTTTATACAAGAAATATATAGAATGAAGATAATACCAAGTTATATTTCGAATGTATAGCTTTACGATTCTTTCGATAAAGCTTTCTTAAATTGGGACTAAATATAAACAATCGCCTCAAATCATCCTATTCGTGCAAATCGTCCATTAATTGTGCATATCAAGTATTAATAATATAGCCCAAAATAATATGGTAGATGGGTCGAGACTAAGGCCTAAGTCCTAGAGGATATATTCGAATTTTTTACACTGTATAGCCATTCACCAAAATAATAATCTATATATACATATGTTTTCCACCAAAATAATAATTGATACATACATATGTTTAGTATATAATATAAATATTTTATACATAATAATGTATTATATTTAGCTACCGATTGTAATTATTGTGGTCAAATGTGTTAAAAGTCCAATATATTTGAGTGGATATGTCTCCTTTTTCACGTATGATATGAGACGATAGCAACCTAAAAATGAGATCACACTCTAATTGCTATAAAATATACACAGTCCACGATAAATTATACAACATTATTTACATTCTAAAAGTTCTAAAAAAATTTATACTATAACAACTTTCAAGAGTTTAAATTTATTAATCTACTCACATTTTAAAATTTGATCTTTGATTGTTTTTCTAGAAATTCAAGATGAAAATTAGTACTTTATGTTTCTTTTTAGTCATAGCTTTCTACAAGATTGTTTTAATAGTGTTTATTAAAAGATAGTTATTAAATAAAAATATTAATAAATTACATATTATAATTACTAATCACTTAATTTGGGACGAAGCGAGTTGAAAATCTAAATAAATAAAGGGAAAAGAGTCAAATATACCCTCGAACTATCATAAATGGTATGCAGATACCCTTCGTCATACTTTTGGGACATTGATGCCCCTGCCGTCCAAAAACTAGAGCATATATGCCATTCACTCTAACGAACAAAAAAAGAACAAAAAAAAAAAGAGAAACTGTGGACAATGCTTCTATTTAATTTCTTGTCAATGAAAGTTACATAATATGCTATTGTCAACAACATCTCTTTACGCGTCAATCTGTTAATTTTTTATAATTAAATATGTGAAAAATTTGTTCGATAATGATAAGCTATGAGATTCGAATTCAAAATTTGTATTTGCTTATATCATATCGAAGTGTGAGTCTATTTCATCTAAAAAATTAAATTGTGTCTGATAGACTACATTTTTATTATTTTAATTATATTGTCAACACTTCTTCTTATGTGTAATCATGTTTCTCTTCCGTAGTTCAAACACGTGAATATTTTGTTTGATGATAGTTAACCGTGAGACTCAAACTTAAGACATTTAATTATTTTTAACATTTAATTTACATTTTTATTTACTAAAGCTCAAATTGATTTAGCGTTAATGGATGCTAGGAAGAGTAGGGAGCAAAGAATATCTTCCACATGGGGCTATATATATAGAGAAAAGATTTCCAAGTAAAGCAAGAAAGAATATATTATATGTAAAATTATGTCAAAAAAGCAAGTGCAAAAGTTCCTTTGGTTTTTTTCTTTATTTAAGTATTCTATATTTTTTCCAAATAATAATAATTCAAATTTGACTAATTCAAATTGGCACCTAGTAAAGTACTCCTTTATAAGAGGTTTTCCATTCTTAAATTTTGATTTTGAGCTCTTTGAGAATGTATTTATAATAGTAAAGGATCTAAGATCAAAGCGAACAATATTTAGGATGAATTGTTACACATAAAAAGTAGTATTATTTCAATAAGGACGCACAAATCTAGCCTTTAAGATAAATGATAATAGAAATTTAATAGCTTTTATTTATGTTCTGCATTTGTATTAAGTTAGTTGATTATCATGAACTCAATTATTATTTTATGTTTACATAAAAATATTTTAAAAATTCATAAATTTCAAAACATGATCATCTACCTTTAATTTTAGTTATCCCACCACACCCTCCAATCATTTTTTTCTTAATCAACATACAAATAAACAAAGTAAAAGTTTTGTAGATTAGCAAAAAGAAGAAAAAATTTTAACTATTAAAATGTTTTTTTTTTGGGGGTGGGGGGGGGTGGGGTGGTAATGCTATAACCCCTGCCATCCACTTCTTCCAAAGACTAAAACACCTAAGAAATGCATGGCTCCACAATTAATGTTAAAGTGCTATACAGAAATTTATATTTTTATGGACACAAATAATTGGAATCTCATTATTCATGTTTTATTCCTTTAATCATTTCCTGTCTCTCATCTGGTCTAAGTGATTATGAAAATATGTTTAAAAACAACAAAAAGAAGGAGAAAAAGTGTGTTGTTAATGAGATGAGTAATTTCTTTATAAAATGATTTTGAACAATTTAATTTTTATGGTTTAGTTTCACTCTAACTAAGGTCCATTTCTTTAATATGATATCAGATTAAAGGTGATTCCACCCGATAATTGGTCGCCTTATTGAAATAACACACACATTAAATGTCCAATTTTGATCGTGAAGGAGGGTGTGATATAGTCATACATCGATGTTTAATGAGATGATGGTCTCCTCCTCATATGGTCTTGAAAATTTTCTTCTCTTGAACTAGTTTTAAATATAATTTGAATTAGGCTCACGATCCATTTTTTTAAAAAAAAAAACAAGGAAGAACCAAGAGGTGGAGCTCTTTCCTTTTTTTTCTCTTTATTTTAAGGGTTGTTTGGTACAAACGAAAATAAAATATTATTTTTAGAAATATTATTATATAATTTAGCCATTTAGATAAACACCGTAAAGGTGATGGTAGTCGGAGTGGGTGAGGTGAGGTGGGGTGTTGATAATCAATTTCAAATGTCATTTATATGATTTATTT